GTCAGCTTTCCTGCTCCTATGATGCTGCTTGGCCTGCTGTGTTCATCCAGCTTTACACCTTGTTATCTTTGTGCGTATGTATATGTTTTATTCATTCATGATGTGGACATCACTGGCTAGGCCAGCATTTATTGTCCATCCGTAATTGCCCCTCAGTAAAATGGTGGGTGAGCACTCTTCCTGCACTGCTGTACTCACACAGGGTATGGGCACTTACAGTACTGTGACAGCACCTTTATTTCACAGGAGCCTTTTTGGAAAAAGACTTGACACTAAAAGATATTAGGCCAAGTGACCAATTGTTGGTAGTTTTCACATCTACAAAACCAAGTGAACCAAATGATTTGATAGAGTCCAAGGGTTTTATTTTGAGTAAGACACAATGCAGTGAAGTATTCCATGCATGTTAGTAAATTGAATGAGTATCAGCAACGTTTGTTTGTGTTTGTGGAATAAATTAGGTTAATGGGGCTAAACAGATACACCAGTCTGAATTTCTGAGCACTGACTTGCCATTTAGTGAGCTAGAGACGAGACCCTGAGGGCCACATCTAAAAATTTAAATTTCACTTCCTTTCAATCTGTAGATATTCAAATTGTCGATATGAATAGATGTGGCTGTTCCGATATTGCCTTCAAAACAAGCCTTCAAACCCAGCAACTGGCAAAATAAAAACTGAGCTGAATTCTCAGAGCTTGGTTTGCTCACATCTATTTTTTGGAATCCAAAAGTACCAAAACATGAAATTGAAAGCACTACTACACTAAAAGAATCTTCATCATCAGTTCCACTTTTAGATTTGCGTCTATCTTTAGGGGTTGGCTCTATTCTGCCCAGCACTTTGACACATGGATGTACCTCCCAGCTTTCGAAACACTAATAAAAACAACAGCTTTCACTTAATGCAACAAAATGTGCCTCTGTGTGCGTGTGTGTGCCTGTGTGTGCGCGGGCGTGTATGGCGGGGGGAGGGTTTACTAACAACTTCTTTCAAGAATGGCTCAAAACGAGAGAGACAGAGAAACAGAGAAGATGAAGAGGATAGAAAGGGAATTCCTCAGCATTGGAGGCGTGCAGTGATAATGAAAGCACCTAGGCATCCTGCTCTTCACTTGATAAAGGAGCCAATAATGGACCCTGTGTGCCTATATGCTGTTGGAAATGCTGTGGCCTAACAGCAGCAGCAGGAAGTGTACTCCAGCACATTCTATAACCTCATGACCCGGCATATCCTCCACTCAACCGATACCATCAAACCGGGGACCATCTCTGGCTCAATGGAGAGTGCTTGAGGGCGTGCTAGGAGCAGTGCCCAGCATTCCTCAAAAATGAGCTGTTAATCTGGTGACGGTACCAAACAGGACTACTTGTGTGCTAAAACAACAGAGAAAGCAGGCAAAAGATGAGACTAAGTGATCGCACAACCAATCGATTGGATCAAAGCTCTGCTATCCTCCCATATGGAGTTATGAATACACAGTGGTGAATAACTAAACCATTAACAGGAGGTTTCACAAACAGCCCCATCCTCCATGAAGGAGGAGCCTAGTACATCTGTCCAAAAGGCAAGTCAGATGAATTTGCATACATCTTCAGCTAATTAAGTGCCGAGTGGACGATCCATCTTGGCCTCCTCCAGTGGTCCCC